TAATTACAGCTCACTGCAGCCTTGAGTTCTGATGAGTTCCAGTTTCAAGCAATTCTCCTGCCTCAGCCTCTGGAGTAGCTGGGACCACCGGTGTGTAGCACCACACCTGAGTAGTTTTTTTAATTTTTAAAATTTATTATAGAGACTGGGTCTCACTTTGTTGTCAAGGCTGGTCTCCAACTCCTGGATTCAAATAATCCTTCTGCCTTGACTTCAAAGTGCTAAGATTATGGTTATGAGCCACTGTGCCTGGCCAAATTTCAGCTTTAAAAGATTTATAGTCCAGAGGCCCTGCCACTAACTTCTCTGACAACACTGAGGAGCATGACCTCCACAGCCTGGACATATGACTTCTAAGCTCCACGCTGCCTATTTCATGGGGTCACAAGGAAAAGCCCTATGGCATTTTCCTACCCTCTTTTTAGTTTGGGCCTTCCAAGGTTGGGTGTCTAATTATCATCCAATCAGCAAGAAATGACCAGACCAGGGCAGAACAGTCAGTGTGGTGGCTAAAACAATTTCATCTTGGATGTTGATGTACCATGTTGATTCCTGGTTAACTCCTGTTCTGGGAATGCCTCTAAGATATCTACTTTTATCTACAGCTACCTTAAATCCTGCCTTAGGTCAAAACAATCTTGAGCACAAATCTTGCTCTCAGGCAGATTCACAAAGCATCCTTGCCTTTCCTATAAGCCCTGGGTCTGGTGGGTAACGGCACTGGGATCTACCATCTTGTCTTGCTGCCGCCGAAGACACACGCATGGCTTCAGTTTGTAAGTCCTAGTAAATGTTTCTAAGAAACAATTTGTCAGCTTCTTTCTTCTGTCTCTCAAGTTCTTTGGTCTTTGAGGATAAGTTTGCATAGGGCTGCCCATCACGGAAGAGTCAGTGTTGGCATCATTTTTGGAGAAAACTATTGATAGCTATCATCTGTTTCCATCAAGGGCACCTCTTTCTTTCCCTCATCACTTTGTTTTCAACTCTCGTCCCCTCCCCCTTGCCTCTATTTCTACACACTCTTTCTCTTCTTTGCACATGGTCATAGTCATGGCTGTTCCATCCAATTCTTTGCCTGCTTATGCACTGGCAAGAAAGTAAGGGGCTAGGGAAGAACAGAATATTGCACAGGATAGGGGAACAGAGTACGCTCCTCAAGTCAGAAAGGAAAGAGGAGAAAATGTGAAAGCTGCTCAGACCAATCTGGTTCCCTAGGAAGCTAATTATTTGGGGTCAGGTTTTTCATGTCATGTTTTTCTACATAAACCTGTCACGAAAAAAGCTCAGAACTTCAGAGCTGTGGCTATGCTCCTGGTCTAGGGTAAGCAACATCCTAATTTCACAGGCACACAACAAACCAGATTATGCCTGGTTTCCTCCCTATGGACAGGGTGGTATTTTCCCTACCCTTGTCCACGTTGATATGATAGGAGATGGAGTCTAAGGATGTTTAACGAGAAATGGTTACCACAGGTCAGTTACTCATCTTTCTGACCTTTAAACGAAAAATAAAATAAAATGCACTTGAACATTATCCCATTTCCTCACCTGTTTGGCCAGAATCCTTGCTGTGAGTCTTACAGTCTCTGAGGGATTCCAGTTTTCCCCAAAAACAACCATGGGAGAACATTCCAGCTTGTGCATGGGCCAATCTTCTTTCTGGGAAGATTGAAAAACATTATTAAAAAAACAGCACATACACTGGAATAAAGTGTGAGAGGAGAGGATGCAATGAGTCCCCCTAGTTAAGGTCAAGTAAAATATGTTTCCTTTTGGAAAACACGAGGATGCTCACAAAAGCTAGCGATAAAAACATCCTTTAAGACAGGCAGGATTGTATGACCTTGACTCGGGCCTGGTCAAGGTTGTTGGGATGAAAAGATCTGCTGTGATTTTTCATCAAGCTCCTCATGGCTTTCTGCAGCCCCTCATTATTCCACACAACACATGCACCTTTCCATCATCTGTGCAAGCTGTCAAATTGCAGGGGGAGGGGTTTGGGTGTCAGCCATGGATTTGGCTCTCCTGCCTCACAGGTCCACTCTGGCTTTGTTTTCACGTCAGGGCAAATAATGGAGAGCTGACTTACACAGCAATGAGTCCCTTTTACAGGTGATTTTTTAAAAAGCACAAATGAGAGTTTCGTCAAGGGCAACCACTGGAAATATTTAGGAATATTTGGATAAAACAGTAGTATTCTTTCTATCGTACACCCCGAAGCTTTCCTACCCCAGGTAAAGGGATGAAGGATACGCACTTGCTACTGAAGGGTGGAGGCACCATCCCTTGAGATGGAAAAGGCACTGAGAGGACACCATGGTGTTTTGGAGGCCGAGGGAGGAAAGTTCTTTTAGGACTGGGGAGTAAATGATGATGCCAGGGCTGGAAATGGGTTTACTGTGAGATGATGGAGAATGTGATTTGGAATCATGGAGGTTTGCTGATTTTCATAAAAACCAGGTTTGGTGGGATGATGGGTAAGAAACAACTAGGAGCAGATTCAAGAGAGAATGAAAGGAGACATGGCTTAGAGAGAAGAGTTGCAGAGGATTTTTTTTTTTTTTTAGATGGGAAATATCAGAGCATGTTGTATACTGATGGGAGGAGCCCTCAGACATTGTCTCTTTCACGACGGAATTGGGTACTGTCTCGCTCTGTCCTTGGCCTTCCCTAGCTCAGAAAATGGCCATAAATGCTCAGGCTAGGGAGGCTGAGGTGGGCAGATCACCTGAGGTCAAGAGATTGAGACCATCCTGGCCAACATGGTGAAACCCTGTCTCTACTAAAAATACAAAAATTAGCTGGGCGTGGTGGCGTGTGCCTGTAGTCCCAGCCACTTGGGAGGCTGAGGCAGGAGAATCACTTGAACCCAGGAGGCAGAGGTTGCAGCGAGCCGAGATGGCGCCATTGCGCTCCAGCCTGGGCAACTGTGCGAGACTCTGTCTCAAAAATAAAAATAAATGCTCAGGCCAGAAAGCTAGTCATCCCTGATGCTGCTCCCTCACTCACACTCCACATTCAGTCAGCTCTGGCAAATCCTGTCTCTGCCTCGAATCTGTTCACTCCTCAGCTCCCCAATCTTTCTACCCGGCTGCAGCCCCAACATCTATCAATACTACTGCCCCGTCACTGCCTTCTAACTGGATGCCCACTTCTGTCCTTGCCCCCATGGACTAGGCTCTGGAAAGCAGCCTGAAGGATCCTGTGGACACAACTCAGATCAGGCCAGTCCTCAGCTCAGAACATAATGGCTTCTCATCCAGACAAAAGGCCAAGTACTAAAGGTGACCTAGGAGGGCACCCGTGATGGGAGCTCCCCTGCACCACTCCCGGCCCGTCATCTCCCACTGCACTCTCGCCCGCCTCACTGTACTTGGCCACAGCAACATCCTGGCCGCTCCTGGAGCCATGCACTTGCCTCAAGGCCCTTTGCACTTGCTCTGTTTCTGTGGCTAGTGCTCTCCTCCCCTGCATATCCATGTGGCTCCCTCCCTTCCTCCTCTCCAGCGCTGCTGGAATGTCTCCTTCTCAAGATACTTGCCACAATCAACCGGAACAGCACTTCCCCATCACTCTCCCTTTCCTTGCTTTCTGCTGCTTCTTGGTATTTCTCACCACCTGAGCATATTACATATTTATTAGTTGTTTGGTTTAGTATCTGTCTCTCTCCAGTAAAATAAAGAAATTTTGTTTTGTTCATAGCTGTATAACCCCAGAACTGACAACAGTGCCCGGCATTTACTAGGCACTCAATATAGTTGTTGAAGGAATGAAGATGTCTCCCTACCCGCTTCCCTCCACCCTGATCCCTGAAGAAGGAAGCACGTAATGTCACTTAATGATTTAATGCAGTATGTGGTACATCCCCTTAGCTCAAGTTCTGGGCCAAGATGTTCTGTAGACTTAAATAACGCCGCACTGAATATAACTAAGAGCAGGGAGGGAAAGAAATGACAAGATATGCACAAGGGAGAAGAGGATCTGTTTTTAGCCAAAGGCGAAAATGAAAGCATGGTGATGAGGCGAAGAGGTAGGAACAGGTGGGGCTGGCTCACTGCGGACTAATCAGTTTCCTCTTCAGCTGCAGAGCAAAGAGGAACAGACAGAGATGACCCTCAGGATACATGAGGGGAAATGGGGACCCACCAGCTGGGGACAGATGGATCATTAACAACTATAGACAAATGCTCACTATGACTCCAGGAACTCCAAGAAAACACCAATTTAAGACATAATCTCTGTCCCTAATGTGCCTGTAAGCTGTTGTTTTCTGAACTGAAGGTGGTGCTTTGGCATTTAGCAGCTACAAAGAATTCCTGGGAAGTTAAATAGAAACATTTGTTAATATAATTAATTACTAATCAATTTATCAATGTAATTGATTTAAAATTGATGTTACTGTAAATATTACAAAATGGTGACATTTATTGATATAAATGTCCTCAAAAGGAAGGGAATTAAACTACAAGGAACGCTCTGGGAGGAAAGCAGAGTGCTGTGAAGCAGGAGAGCTACTGACCTGGGACTCAGGGATCTTGCATTTTTTTTATCCCCACTCTGCAGCGAAGCAGCCATGGGACTATGCAAGTCTCTTAATCCCTTTGCGCCTGTCTCCTTGGCTGTAAATAACATGATCCCTAAGTTACTTAGCAAGTCCAGTATTCTGAGTCTTTGAGTTTACACCTTCCAACAGTGATAATCAGACATGAAGCTTGAAGACAACCAACAAATGGGGGCCAAATAGGGATAATCAAGCATTCATACAAACACAAAGGATCCCATCAGTGGATCCACAAGAAGCACTCAGAACAGTGCCTGGTACATGCTGCGCTCCTAAACACTGGTAATTGTTCATTCATTCATTCATTCATTCATTCAACAAGTTCTACAACTGACCCTACAGACAGGGATGGGAGATGAAGTCTTTGACTTCAAGCAGTTTATGACCATGTCAGAACGAGGGTAAGAGCACCTACAATTAGACACAGTCCCACTCATAGCATTTAAATCACACAGCTGATTTAAATCCACGAAAATGTAGAATCAGGTTAAGTTTCATCAAGGAAAATTTACCATAAGTAATGTTTCACTTTCTTTTTTGAAGGTGGATTAAGGGAGGAATGGCAGAGATATACCACGATGGCACTGCACAGCTTTAATTCTTAAAAAAGGAAGTTGTGATAGAATCTAGTAGAAAAGGCAGGTTTTAAGCATATTTTGATACATTCTCTTCTACCATAGAGATGGTCCACATATTTTAGAGAACCTGACAGAGGCTACCCTAATTTTGTCCGTAAGAAATTATAAGCAACCAGACTGAACAAAATTGAAAAAAAATTAGGCTAACCTGATGAATAGGAATGAATGTTATAAATTACTTTATTTTTGAATACTGGCAGTACTGTTGTATACAGAGTGATTTTGCAGCTCTTTATGCTTTTTAAAACGTAACCAATTTTTCTAAAACCTTTCCTACTGTTATTCTTCAAATTTCAAGTTAGTGCTCCTGCCCTGATTGCAATCCTTATAAAATTTTCTGTAAACTAGGATCTCATTTTCCAATAAAATAAAATAAATTAAAATACATACACAGGTACAGAAGGGATTCAGAAAGATACAGACCAAAGTACATGTTACTAGTGGTTTTCTCTCAGGGGATAAGATTATGAATACTTGTTCTGTTCTTTTCATCTCTACTTTCTGATTTTCCCATAATGAGCACAGATTGTGTAACTTAAATCTATAAAAAAGGTGAGATACGGAATTTTTCACACTGATGGTCCTCTTTTAAAACTTCTAATTCATTTTCTTTTCTTTTTTTTTTAAAGACAGACTCTCGCTGTCACCAGGCTGGAGTGCAGTGGCACGATCTGGGCTTACTACAACCTCCAACTCCCTGGTTCAAGCGATTCTCCTGCCTTAGCCTCCCCAGTAGCTGGGATTACAGGCATGCACCACCATACCCAGCTAATTTTTGTATTTTTAGTAGAGACGGGGTTTCACCATGTTGGCCAGGATGGCCAATGCGGAGATTACAAGTGTGAGTCACCGCTCCTAGCCAATTCATTTTCAACTAAGATAATAACGACTGTGCATGACTTTCACTTTTGTGCATAGTCAAAAATGCTTAAAGATGCATAAAGAGTTGCAAAATAGTCTCATGGTGCACTAGCATTTCCAGCACTGGAAGAAAAGAGTGATTATTATGGCATCCAGTTTTCTGCTGAGCAAATACGTTGCCTTCCTGGATAAAGAGACTGGATTTTCATCACGAAGACCCCTTTCTGCCTCTAGCATTTGGTGTTTCTATTGTTCTAACAACAAACACAGTCTACTTGTACACATTCACATGTGATTTCTTAAAATGTGGAACAGCAGAAAAAGTCACAGGATTTCTGCTTTCCACTAGCATAATCTTTAAGAAGAAGAGTGGAAAAGCAATCAGGTGGAACTTGACCAGCTTATACAAAGATGGCCCACGCAGCTTAACTACCATCACTAGACACATGCTTTGTTCTTATAGTATTCCCAAAGTAAGTGATGATACAAACTCATTTGCACGCATTTTCTTCCTACTGGTGATGTTAAATATTGAGAAAAGAAAGATGGCCCAAATTTAAAATGCTTCCTATGGCTGACAGGAGTGAACCGAACCAAGATTGAACCTATGACTCTGGCCCCATTACATTAATCACCCATAAGAACCGCATTTATTAGACATTGTCTATGCTTCATTATTTTCTATTCAATGACAAGGGCCTACTATTTTCTCACATGCTCCTCATACCCACTTAAAAAAAATCCCTTCCTACTTTCAAAGCTTACACATAACCCCCGCAGCTCCAAAACACAAAGGTTTTCTTCTTTATATTCATTACAGTTAAGAAATGTACCCTAGAATGATCTACTGCACAATGATTACTCTGTACGATAACTTTCTAAAACTCTTCTCTTGAAAATATCCTAGTATAATTTATGGGTGAATAATATACTTTGCTTCTCAGACATATTTAGAAAAATAAATACAGTTCATTAAAACACACAGGTTACAAAATAACACGCCCAACTAAAAAGGAATTTCTGTTTCTTTTATACTTCCTCCCATTACCCTTTCATGCATTAGTAATTAAAATCTTTCCTCTGGCACCATCACACTGAGTCAAGTGAACTAAGAGGGAAGTAGCGGGACAAGATAGAACCAAATTGTATCAAATAAAGCAAAATCCTAAAGCACTGAAGACAGAAGAGGACTTGGGGAGAACATACATCATGGCCAGGATCCCCTAAGAAGCCTTACTTCGTGTAAAGAGGAAACTCCCAGGAAGCAATGTGAGCCTTTAGCACTCTTGGAGAGGTTTCTGGCCAAGACAACAATGGACACAGCTCTTCCCTTTCGCATCCACTGAAGGCCACTTCACTTTCTCTGACATTCCCACAGCACCTCAGTTCCTAGAGGGCCCTCACTTCTCCCGAGCACACTATTGTAAAGGGGTGAAAGCCCTCTCCAAGTAATGGGTAAAGTCTCGTCTCCGTTCTGTGCTGTTTGATCTTGGGTCACCCAACCACTTGGGACTCTGCTTTCTTATCTATTGACATGTTGAACTCAATAACCTCCATCCCAACTCTACCACTGCAGTGTGGCACTGACCACCTGATGACTCCAGGAGGGTAGGGTCTACCTTTGAGGAAGGACCAGTTAATTAATAGCAGCTGAGGGCCATGCTTTCATAGGTGCAGAATCAATTACCTTCCTCATTGCCGCTCTTGTTTTGTGCCACGTTTTATCCTTTAAGCAGAGCCTCTACTTTGATCCCATGCAAGCACTCCCTTAAGCTGAACCCTGAACACATTTTTATCTGGAGCAAATGCCCCAGATTCCTCCCTAATGATTTCCTTTACGAAGCCCTCGCACTACCCTTTATTTCTAGGCGCTTACTTTTATTAAACCTTTATGCCTGCTCTATCTCTTTATAATACACTGCCCACACTTATTTAGTTCTTTGGTACTAAAGGATGAAAAACCTTAATGGTCATTAGCCTGTTCCTTCAGCAATGGGAGACAGATGAAACAAAAATGAAACTTACAGGTCAGATCCAGCCTGCCACCTCTAGAAACAAGAGGCTTCAGGAGCTGTGGTACCGCTCACCTCCTAGGAGGGTACTTTGGTCACCAGTTACTTAACAGAAGTGTAGGAAAGCAGAATTGCAGAAGTAATCCTCAGTGTTCAGGATGCCCCTGCCCGGAAACTGAGTGAGCAGCAGGGGAAACTCCATTATGAGCCTGGACACAGCAGGCTCTCTTGGCCTGCTGCCTTGAAACAGTAGAATCCCCTAACTGTTTACTCCATTCCTGGGGTTCCTTGCTCCCCAGGTAACGGTCTCATTATGAAGTGACTACCTGTACGGTTTTGTCTCCAAGGGCAGGATGTCTAGACTGTTCAACTTCTTGTTGTAAAGTAATCAACTGGCATTGTGGTACATACAGATTGGGATACTGGTTAATGTGAGCCTCCCCCAAGGGAGGACACCCCCTTATTACATGCTTACAAACGAGGTTTCTAGGATTCTAGGATTCTTGGTCCTGGGGCAGGGAAACCATAAAGGGCATCTCAAATCCCAACTTGGGCCATGATGATTCATCAAAATACTGCCACCTCATAAGCCCTCACAGAAGACAGTTCAGCAGCATGCTCAGGAGAAGACTCAGAGCTAACTCCGCATGCCACACACTCTGATGGTACCTATTAATACACTGTTCACAGCTACTTAGAGGAGTTAAGACTCATTTTGTAATAAGCATTACTTACACAATGTACACCATCAGTACTCTCAGTTTCTTAGAATCCAGCCATTCTCTCAGGCTGAAAAACCAAGTGCCTTAAATCAAAACGATGCTGTTTATTTCTCTGCATAAAGCTGAGCTTTAGTCTAGCCTGAATTACACAAATTCAATTTTCTGGTGGACGGTAATATGATTATTTATACAAACTCCTCACACCTGTATATAGGGTTACAGCTTATATAAAACTTTAATATCTATCACATCACGTGGTCCCTAACTTCCTAACTCACCAAGGTGGGTACCATTGTCCTCAGTTCAGATTTAAAGAAACTGAGCCTCAGAGATGTTTTGTAACTTGGCAATTTCATAGGGCTAGTAAGTAGCAGAGCCAGGACCTGCTCCTGGGACCATGGCCTCCTGCCACTCCATGCTATTTGATCTGAACTACATGTGACTCCCTATGCTTACTTCACTACAGAACCAGAATGGAATGAGTTAATTTTTCTAGAAGTGTTTAACTTACATATAGAAACAGCGAACTCATCTGGGAGGCCTAGAATCAAACCGTGTATTTTGCAGGGCCTGCTGATCTCTACAATGCCATTGCACTACTCTATCTACAATGGGTAGGAGCAAAGTATGATCTTTCCTCTTCAAAAGAAGGCACCCTCCCCGAAAACTCAACTACAAGCTCCATTTATATTTTCACTGCCACACAGGCCGACAGCCTCCGGGAGCCTGCTGTGGGAAACACAGGGAAGGGGACTGTGCATATGGTCTTCAGAGCCAAGGCAGAGTCTGAGCTTCCCAAGCCAAGGTCTCAGCCTGTGCTTCATTCTGGGGAGGGGCCGCTGTCCCTGGAGTGCTACAGTCAGATGAGACACCCGGGCTTAGCAATCTCTCCCACTGCTAAATAACGCTCTTTGAGGCCTTTCAGAGGCCAACAGTGTAGAGAGGTGAGAAAGAAAAAAAATGAAATAGTGGGTAATCCAAAGTGGACCAGGGATGGGGCTGCAGGGTGGGGAGGGAGAAGGATGACACACGGTATGGAAAGCACAACAAAAAGAGATGCGGATATGGAGAAAATCTTCCCTGTCCCGTAGAGCCACGCTTTAATAGCATCAGCATTTCCCAAGGTGTATTAATAGGTTCCCTTTAAAAATAAATGCCAGGGGGAGGTACAGAAAGATGGAAGAAGGCAGCTTAGAAATTCACAATGCCATACTAGCA